TCCTGCTGAGGTGTTAACCTGCAAGTCAGCTAAGTTATCTATTGTATTGTCTCCTTCTCCTTTCTGATGTGGACTGTGGACTGTGAAACCTAAGTCTTGTTGGTCCTTTCAGAATGCTTAGAAGAACTTTGAATTATCCATACAAAATGCAGTTACGAAAAAATAATGTCACAATAAGGTTCAGATTTATCAAAGTCTAAATAGACATTTTTATCATCTGCCTAGTAAGACTGGATGCAATAAACAATTGGTTTTCTAACCATTGGTAGTAACTCAGCAGAGTGGAAGGTGCTTGTCAAACTATTTCTGGTCAAACTGATCTTAAATTGACTGGTCAGTTCCAGTTTCGGAAGAATGAAACTACTTAATCCTTTTGACAGGTTTCTTTAAAAATACATGTGAGTGTGTGTATATATATATATATGAAAAATGCATAAACTGCCTCTTAGTATTTAAATACTACTATCACTTATGTCAAGGGTTATCTTCTGTTGAAACTAAAAAATAAAGTGGAAAATATGCTAGGTACATTTGTTTGCTAGTATTACACAAGCAATGTAATAGTAAAATGCTGGAATTGGCAGGACTATAATTCAGATGCATTTTCAATAATGAGAGTAGTAATTCAGAATTGTTTATAATGAAGAACAAGGTTTGAGAATGTAATTCGTAATTGGAGTGTTTAATTTCTATTTCTGGTGCTGTTTTCACTGTCACTGCTCTTCAAGCTTTGTTTCATATCTGGGACTTGACTTTGCAAACCTGTGAAAGAGGAAGAAATAAGAAATCCTGAATACTTCCATAGATACTGTCATATATTTGAAGACAGTAGTGTGTCCAGAGCAGCCTTCCAAAGTTCTTGTGATATTCTAGTTCTGTGCGTGATGGGCAGGGAAAGTATTGCCGCTTGAGGCTTACCAAGCAAAGGTTCCCTCTTCTTTAAGATCGGTTAACGGTGCTGCCAAGGTAATGGCGTGGTGGAGGTTACTGGTTACGGCACTCTCTTCTTTAATCTTGTCTAAGATTGTAGCTATGCTGTATCTTAATTTCTCTTTCCATGTGTTCTGTGCACATGAAAGCTCTTTGGTATAGAATTGCTTTCTTTGCCAAATTTGCAAAAATCAAATTCCAGTTTAGAAAATTTTTCTGCCATGGCTCTGCTCTAGCAACATGATTTGTTTGGGTTTGTGGGTTTTTTTTTTTGTCTCCAGCAAATAACTTAGTTTATGTTGCTGACATCCAGAACCCAGTCAGATGCATGTGGCATGTAGAACTGTGGCTTCGGTACAAGTGTTTTTCCTTAAACATAGCTTTATTGAGACACAACAGTAAAAATCCTGTACTTCATCTTCACAGGCCCGAATCTACCGATGGCAACTGTTGATATCAAAAACCCAGAAATTACAACTAACAGATTTTATACTCCACAAGTCAACAATATTTCATACACCAAAGATAAGAAGAAAGGAAAAACTAAAAAGAGAAGATTGACAAAAGCAGATATTGGAACGCCATCTAATTTCCAGTAAGGACTTTTCTGAATTTGGGTTTTGGTTTTGATGGTGGTGGTGTTTGTTTTGGGGTTGGGTTCATTTGGGGGGGGGCAGGGTGTCACTTGCAAATGCTCAAGACAAATGTGTGACTGCTCTGTGTAACATGAACTACAGTGGATGCTAGCTGGAATGCTGCAGGGTTTAAAAGCAACTTAGTTTATACACAGGTGAGGAGTTTACTGCAACTGTAAACAAAAAAAAAAGTGACTTACTGTCCTAAAATGGTTCAGAAAACAATGTAGTTGCATAAAAATGTCTTACTGAAGTGGCCAGCTCAGTGCAGATGTATATGTGTATATGTAGCCTCAATGGTCAACTTTTTAACACTGTTATTCTTGCAGCTGTGCTTTGTCACACAGAATATACACAGGCGGGTCCTGACTTGTCATAAAATATGGCAGTGTCATTTCTGCTGTTATCTCTGACTTTCTGTTTACAAACTTACTTATTCTGATATATGGGCTAATACCCGTCTCTTGCAATGAAAGTATGGCGTGCATGTATACAGCTCTGGGGAACGGGTTGTTTTTTTCTACTATTGTTTCTTATGTATCTTCAATCTTTTAGAATAGTTATGATGTATCATTTTAAGCTTCACTTTCATGAAACTTGGGTTTGGTCAGTTTACTGAATTAATTACTGTTTTCCTGAACTGGTATTTGGTATTTCAATCTTCTTCCTTTTCAAATAAGCGTACTTTATTTACTAAAGGAACAGGAATTTAAAGAGCTTGAGTAAATGTAGTGAAGTGGGACAAGGGGCAATGGGCACAAACTGAGGCACAGGAAGTTCTGTCTGAACATGAGGAAGAACTTCTTCCCTCTGAGGGTGACGGAGCACTGGAACAGGCTGCCCAGGGAGGTTGTGGAGTCTCCTTCTCTGGAGATATTCAAGACCCGCCTGGACAAGGTCCTGTGCAGCCTGCTGTAGGTGACCCTGCTTCGGCAGGAGGGTTGGAATAGATGACCCACAGAGGTCCCTTCCAACCCCTACTATTCTGTAATTCTGTGAAGTGCTGTATCTATTAATGTCACATAAACTGAAAAATGCAGAAAAGAAGGAAAGGTGAAAGAAAGAAAACTGAAATAGTATTTGGTAGCTGGTCACTGTTGTAGCTCTACTGATGCAGACTTCAGCATATGTGGACAAAACTGCAAATAATGATTTGCATTAGCATGTCTTACCTCTGATCAGAATTTGTGGAAGGGGTTGTGCAGCAGTGCAGATATAAAACAAATTTTAGACTTTGTTTATAATGTCTGTCGGGTTCTGACCGCTGCAAAACATTATGTGCACTCATAAAATATTAAAGGAGACCTAAAGAAGCTGAGAATAAGATGATAAAATATTTAATAAAGTTCAAACAGAAGATATGTTCTTGTATCCTTAAATATAACATTAAATTGTAAGCGGTGAACCTTTGTGAAAGAAGATTGAAAGTCTGTTTTGTTCAGCTTAAGGTCTAGTTAAGTTTCCTGTAGAGTGCAGCTAAGCGTCGCCCTGCTATATAAGACACTTTCATTACAGGTTTTGTACAAACATATGGGAATGGGTGTTTGGTACTGTAAGGCAAATATGCCAGTAGGATAACTTTTGTGTAACTTCAGCTGTGATACTGGTGAAGACCAACACTTCGTTTATGTCAGGTCAAAGTTGTAATCTGTAGATACAATTTTAAAATGCCTTCTGTTAATTAATATAACTTCTTGCTGTATGCATTCTTTCAAATAACATAAGAGTTGCAGTTACCTGGTAAGTGCACATTTTCATTGAAAAGACCTCTGAAAACAATGTGTTACAGTCAATGTGTACAAGTAACTTATTTTACTCTAAAGGATGAAAAACAGAACATATAAACTTTGATATCAATTAACTACACTAAGCTCCAAATTGTTTGCTCACACCCTCTTAAAGGGCATCATGAATTGCACAGATATGCAGAGATAAATGGGTAAGATTGTATTTGCTGGTAAATTTCTGTCAACTTCCATAGCCATGACAATTGGATATGAGACTGTGTATTAGGAAATGTGTGTCTAATTTATGCGAAACAAGCTGTTGCTTAACTTCCAGAATTCTGTAATGAATAAATTATCCGATATTTTGGTAGTGCAAGGTATTTAAATATTTAGGCAAAATGAGGGCTACCCTTTTTTGCCTTTTGTGTCGCATGATGTCATTTTTAAACTAGAATTTTTACTTCTTGCCCCTCAAACTAAGTAGTTAGTTAATTATAGTTACACCAAAACCAAAACTGATCGTTGAGCTTCAGGAATCTCATTAAGAAAGCTTGTGCTGTTGGTGGTGCTAACAGACCCAAGCAAGAATACAAGGTCTGTTGTGCTAGGCACTGTAGAAGGACAGCGAAACAGTCCTTGTAATTTGGCAAGCTGAGTCTAGGCTGTGTTGGTTACTAACAGCTCACCTGGTATTTTTAAAACCCTGAGTTGAACTTCCTTTCTAGAACTGGCCATTGGCAAAAAGAACCCCAAGGATTGGAGTTCTGGTAATGGTTCTGTCTTCTGTAGCCCACAGCAGAAGCATGAAGTAGTGTGGAGGGGCACAAACTCTTCTGCATTTTTTATGATTGTGCCATCACATAAGATAATAGTTTAGTAGCCACGTGAAATGGCTACTAGAAGCCTAGGAAGATGGCACCTGAAGGGTCCTGACTTTTCTGTGAGAGAAGGAAGTGAATGGGAGAAGGGTGATGAGAGAACAAACAGCGATAGTAGGGAGGAGGAGGAGGTTTTTCAGCTGCATGATGCTCAAGACCTTGGCAGTAGCTTGAAGTCCAGTTACTATATAAAGGCCAGACTCATCCCTTGATCTCTGTGCAGTCCTTCCATCACCATCCATCTGCACCACAGGGTGGCACGGAGCCTTCATGTTTTGCCACAGACCATAACCTAAGGGGGGAAAGTAGCTTCTTCACTTGGTCTTTTTGACACAAGACAAAACGTGGGAGTAAAGGAAGTTGTCCTATTCAATTCTCAAGTGGGGCAATGAGAAGTAAGAATTGCTTAGTGTCTTATAAGCCTGGAGGTAGAAGCTGGTAGTAATCTCTAGTTATCTTGGTGTCCTGTTACTTTAGTTATCAAGGTCCTTTTTATGCTGATTAAATGGAATTTTCTGCTTTTTTAGACACATTGGACATGTTGGTTGGGATCCAAACACAGGTTTTGATGTAAGTAATAAGTTGTTCAAGACACTGAATAATTAAAAGCTTTAGAGGCTTTTTAATGTAAGTTGTGAAGACTGTCGTTAAGTAAACCTAACTGTACATCAAAGTAGTTATAAATTGTGATTTCATAATATGATTCAAACACAGACAGATGTCGGGGTAGAAGGAAATAGGAGAGATGCAGGATTGAGGGGAAAACAAGCAAAACTTAAGTTTTTGTGCAAGGTGGTTACCTCTCCTAAAATAGTCTTTGCTGACTGAAAAGTCAACCCAGAGACATGTCCATGACTTTGCTGTTCCTATTAACTACATGGTTTGTGGGTTTTTTTCCCAATACAAATGATATTTTAGAAAATTCTTCTAGTTCAAGCTACTTAAAACTAATCTGTCTGACTTGCAGGTGAACAACTTAGACCCAGAACTGAAAAACCTGTTTGATCTGTGTGGAATTTCAGAGGCTCAATTAAAAGACAAAGAAACTTCAAAGGTCATATATGATTTCATTGAAAAAACAGGAGGTGTGGAAGCCGTTAAAAACGAGCTGCGCAGACAAGGTGCGATTCCTTTTATTTCCATGTAAAAATTAGCAGGGCGTTTTTTGCCTTGAGGATGAGAGTAGAAGCTGTTGATCATGAGCCATTTCTGATTCTCATCTCTGGACTTCACATCACCGCAGTTGCATCGGATTTCATAATGTTTCTGTATAACATACACTATGTAAAAATGTTCGTGCATGACCTAGGAGAGTTCCCTAACGAATAAGGATCTTATCTATGTCAGTTAAGTAATTTCCAGTAACACTTAGTCTGACTGTAAAGTTAGGCAGTATATTCCAGATAGATTGGGGTTTTTTTTCAGACTGTGTAATTTGCATATTTATATTTTAATCTCAATCTTACAAATAAATTAAAATTTTAGAAGCAGTATTGCTGTTGTCAGAGTAACAGCAAGTGTCTGACAGGTGTATGTGTGGTGCCCATTTACCCTTGCAGCACTGTGTAATGAACCTTCCAACAGCTAGAGGCCTGCAAATTTTGCTGGAATATTTTAAAAAAGAAAAAAAAGCTTTTTTTCTTATTTAATGTAAAAAGTACTTGTTTTGAGCAGGCTACTGCTACAAGAAAATTGTCAGATAAGCCATTTCCTGTGTAACCTTTAAATGTAATCTCAGCTGATGCACTATCTAGTGGAACATAGCAGGTCGGTCTGAAAACTACACTGCAAATGTCAAACTTTCAGAAATTTGCGTAGAACGTTTCTCAAGAGAAATACGATGTTAAATGCCACTGAAATTATAGCAGTTTGAAAATTGTGAATAAATTTTTTGAGTGACTGAAGAGATACAGATTCAAGGTACAATGACTTGTTACATTTATTCCTTAGGTCCCCCACGGTGGAGCGGTATGTGTTTGAGCTGGCATCTAAGCATATGCTTCAAAGTACTCATGCTGCTGTGTGATTTTTTTTTTCCTAGATGAGAAACCTTAGTCTACATCTGTTTGACTGCAGTACTAAAACTTATAGTCAAACTTCTTAGTTAAATTGCAAGCAAAACTTCAGTTATGATTTTTTTCTCAGTAAGAAATCTGTCCATTTCTATATATAATCTTAATTCTGTTTAAATGTTTACAGTTATTGATCCCAGACTACTGACCATAAAATTGGATTGAGAAGATTTGCCTTAGAGTCTTACGACTAGCTTAAAATATTTTAAAAATGCCTATTTTTCTATTATGTATGTGTTAACTTCATTACAGCCACTTGCATGTACGCAATTGAAATTAAAGCTGCCTCATCTTTAACATGCATGATAATAATCTACCTCTGTGGTTTTTGATAGAGGTAGATAAAATTTTCCAGTATTTCAGTGGGTTTATCCACAATTATGTTACTTGGTGTGTAGGCTTGACTGCTGTTTGAAGTGTTCTTTCTCAACTGAAACACATTTTTCTGTATTTTATTGCAAGAATTTCTGTGCTTATGTATTCATCCTGCTAGGCTGTTGACTAGAGAGCTGCAGACATGTTGTTCTGCTCAGGTAGAAGTTACTTTCTTGTTTTTCTTGCCCTTTCGCTAGTTTTAGTATTGTTGTGGTTTGGGTTTTTTAGTAACAATACCACAAATAGAGGATTTTACATACTTTTTTTTTTAATAGCCATGTTCAGGTTAATGTGCATTTGTAAAAAACTAAATTATTTCCTTGCTTTGCCTCTGCCATCTGTTTGGGGGGAAGGGAGAGAGGACCAGGTAATGCTGCTCCCTCCTTGCTGCTTCTCCCCTGTTTCACTCCAGCTGAGTGCAGACAAGCCTTATAAACTGAACTCTATTTCCACAGACTGGATGTGGCATATCTCTCTGTATACGATGCAAATAAAACCTTTCCCCAAAGAAAAACTTAAGCCTTCCGTTCAAAATCTACATACACTACAGATTCTGGAGCATGACCATGTTACCTGTCTTTTCAGTAATACAGAAAAACTGTCTGTAGTGCTTGCTGAGTAAGTTATATTTGAAAATACTGGCTTATAGTGGCCAAGAAGGAAACTATGGTCCTGTCAGCCAAAAAGTGGTGGGATTTTTTTTTTTTTTTTAATCAAGAATGTTGGTAGTATGTCTGCAAAATGTATAAAGTTTGAGATGAGATTCTCCCCACATTCTTTTGAAGGGATGGGAAAAAACAGCAGTTTGTGGAACTCTAGGAATATAACATGTAATTTTAGGAGGGGTCTGTCTCTCTAAAATGAGCAGGGAAGGAGGCACTGAGGCACCAGTGTCTCCTACTTCGTCAAAATCCCTTTTTTAGGGATGTCCCCTCTCTATCCCAGTGCAGACAGCTTGCTTTCTCAGCATGTGACAAGCAGGAGGTATTGGAAGATGTAAAGAAGTATCTTCTTGATTGTAATACATTTTTCATTATCAAAGCATGGGAAATCAAATGTGAATTTTCTTAGTTGTATGATAGTCCCTGGATTATTAAGTAGTTACGTGCAATAACCACACAATCGAAAGTACCTTCAGCCATTAGATGCTTAATGGAAGAGGAAATGAAATGGTGTTATTGAAAATGCCATTAGCAGAGAAAGTACATTTCAAGGCCACTTCACGTAGAAATGATCCTGTGCGTGGAGTTTAGCCCTGAAGTTGTTTCCTTTCTGTGGTCCCTCCCATAAAGATACTGCTGGAACTAATTTTCAGGGAAAGAGACTTAAGAGTCAGTTTATGCTGCATCGGAATGCATTAGTAGGTTTTTTGTTACTAGAAGATGATGCTTCAAAAATATTTGGCTCTGTAATTACCTAATAAAATACTGGATAGATTATAAAGTGGAAGTTCTGTATTTCCCTTCAAGTGTATTTTCCAAAACCTGTTTCTCTTGCCTTCTGTCCTAGCTCGACAATTTTTAGAGGATTCTTTTGAAATTTTTCTGCATTATGTCATGACACATTGGAACGCTAACTTAAGATACACTTGGATTATGAAGATGGTTACTACCATAGCACCAAACCAAACTGAATGACCAAGCTTGTTTTGTGACTGATTAGTCTTTTGATGTATTGTATCCAGAACTGGTAAAATTTGCACAGGCACAGAGATCCTTGCAAAAGGCAAGGCAAAGCCTTTTTTTCTTTTTCTGCTAGTCTCTGAAAGACTTACGGGTATTGAATGGCATGTAATTGTAAATTGTTTTGTTCTGTTTCAGCTCCACCTCCACCACCACCGTGCAGAGGAGGACCCCCTCCACCACCACCTCCACATAGCCTGGGTCCTCCTCCTCCCCCTGCTAGGGGCCGAGGGGCACCACCTCCACCTCCTTCAAGAGCGCCCACAGCAGCACCTCCACCCCCACCTCCGTCTAGACCTGGTGCCTCGGTGCCCCCACCTCCTCCAAACAGGATGTATCCTCCACCACCACCAGTGCATTCATCATCTGCGCCATCAGGTCCTCCTCCACCACCACCACCACCACCGGCAAGTGGGTCATCTGTTCCTCCACCACCTCCTCCTCCTCCACCCCCTCCTGGTCCTCCTCCACCACCAGGCCTTCCTTCAGAGGTTGATCACCAGCTTCCAGTTCCTGTGGGAAACAAAGCAGCACTCCTGGATCAAATCAGAGAAGGAGCTCAGTTAAAGAAAGTAGAACAGAACAGTCGACCAGTGTCCTGCTCAGGAAGAGATGCACTGTTAGACCAGATACGACAGGGTATACAGCTGAAATCCGTGAGTAAAAGCTGTTTCTCATCTATGTCCCTTTGGGACTTGCAAATAGCTGCAGTACTGCAGTGTGAACAGTAACTTGTGGCTCTTTTTGGGACTGGATCATAACTTTTAGAGTTTTTGAAGTGGCACTTTAAGTGTCAGTACTGAGAAAATGCTTAGAATGGATATTTGATATAGGTGACTATTGGTGCATGAAATCATCCTTGTTTGAAACTCATTTTTCACTTCTACTGAAAAGCTTTAAGCATAAACCCTACAATGATAGTACCACAGTATTGTGGCTGTAAAGAACTTTTGCAAGAACTATGAAAGATTGCTGGTCTCTTGAGGGCTTCAGTAAAATCGTCTAAACAACTGTGGGGGCTGAGTTCAGCAGTAATGGTAGTGGGAGGCAAAGACTACATCCCCTCTACCATCTTAAAATGGACCTGTGCTCTGCAAATGTTGAGGCTTGTGACAGGGTGGCTGCCTGTGTCTGGAGAAGTGCTGCCTGTGAGGGTGCCTCCGCTGTTCCTGCTGCTGCTCAGGCTATTATATTTTTTTTTTCTGAGGTCACTGAATATCTTCAAAATAATTTTGTCTGTAGGTACTTTTTTTTTTTGGCTACTGTTCTGCCCTTGAGGCATCTGATGTAAAAATTGTGAGGGAATGTTAATATTTATTTGCCATTACAGGTATGCAGTATCAAAGTCCGTTCCTTTCAGAAGGGATTATCAACCCAAAGCAGACCTGATTAATAAACAAGAAAAAATACGTTGCGTTATATGCCAAGGATAAAATAAATAACGATTGTGCAGCCACACTTGTCATGCTTGTACAACCATATTAAGAAGCTTTCCTTAAGCTGAGCACTCACTTCGTGGTAATCAGAGCTGAAATTTTTAATCTGGAATATGAACTAACTATAGTTGTGTTTTATGGCGAAAGAGAAAAGGTTGGGTATTTTATAAATAAAAACCTAGCTTGAGCTAAAGAAACAAACTGCAGTTTCACTCTTCCTTTGGCTGAAAAAAAACTCACTAATGTTACAAGGAAGTTTGTCTCAAAATGCACAGGTTCTGTCTTGCTAATTGCATCTTTCGAATGTATCCTTTTTTCCAAGGTATCTGATGGTCAGGAGAGTGCACCGCCTACACCTGCACCCACCTCAGGAATTGTGGGTGCATTAATGGAAGTTATGCAGAAAAGGAGCAAAGCCATTCATTCTTCAGGTGAGTCTGATGGAGTTCTTCTGACCTCATGGTGTCAGGTTTTCAATAGTTAACACTTCTATTCAGCATAAAATGTTGTTTGAAAATGGCATGGATTTTGGCATATACTCCAATACAGAATGCTCTAGGAAGACCCCTTGTGATGGGTTGAATGGTTACTTCGTTCTAGTTTGGATTACTGGTGTACGGTAGTTTGCAGTAATACAATCAAGGTTAATAACCTTATAAAGCTTGTTTTGGTTTGGGAGGTTTTTTTGTTGTTTTTACAACAGACTTATTTTTGTCCAATAGATATCTGATGAAATTCAGTATTTTGGAAGGAAGGTTTTTAATGCTTTCTGTTTCTAGATGCCAAAACTCTTGCAGAGATTCAGGAGCTTAAAACTGTGGCTTCCAGTGTGCTTTGGATGCCACCTGCTGGATAATAATCAGATAACCAGTGTTACTTGACTAGGCCTATGCTAGTACAGAGTCAGCTTTTCACACTTCAGTACTTGGAAAAAATCAGGCTGCAAGAGGATTTGCATTTCTCAGATACCAGCTTGTAAGAAATGCAGTTCAGTAGCTGTAGTGCAGTGATTTGGTTATATCTCCTCTGTTTAGTCTTTGATTCATTTTCCTTCCAGAGCTTGCCTTGATACCAAAACTGCACTTGCAGTCTGCAGACTGTTTGACTACGTGCAGTATAGTTCGTTGATTTGCTGCCCTGTGTAGTAGTCTCCAGTTTTGGAACTTTATATAAATTAAATACCAGAAGGGTGTTAAATACAGCATTTTCCTAAGGAAGGAAATGCTCTTGCCTAACACATAAGTATTTTAATTTTAACAGGCTACAACTTTTAAATTATGATACATACAAAAATAGTGGAAAGCTGAATAAAATTAACAAGAGTTGATGCTGAAGCTGATGTGCATTATACAGCTTATAACATTCCAGTAACTACAACAGACTTCAGCTCACAAAATTTTTTCTTTCTGCCTGTACAGTAAACAGAAATCCCATTATGTAGTAAACCTGGGGAAGCAGTTCTTACCTTTCAGAAATTAATCTGTCCTTAAACTTTAAAGCCCAATCTGCAAGAAGCTGGCCTCTCTCACATTTTCTAAGAACGAGTAATAAGTAGTAAGTGTTAAATGAGAACTTCTGATTCTTTTTCTCATAGCAGAAAACAAGATACGTTTTTCTTACCTGGCGAAAGGAGTGAGAAGGGAAACAGACTGAACTCTCAGCCAGTATCTATCTAAACTGAATGTCATGTCTAGCAGTCTTAAAACAGAGTATTACCAAATGCGTTGTCGTGACTGCCTTGAACTGATTGTTCTGTTCTCATGAAGTTTTGGGAGAAATCTATAACACGTTTGGAATGTTAATTTGGTGCATGCAAGTGACTTGTCTTTTTTGTCTTACAGATGAAGATGAGGATGAAGAAGATGAAGAAGACTTTGAGGATGATGACGAATGGGATGATTGATCATATATTATTATATATATATATTTTTTAAGGTGAATGATATACTAAACACTACTTTCTGTCTATGGATTCTGTAAAATTATCATGTAAATGTTCTACCAATTTGCTGTATATTTTTGTTGCCTTTTGCTTTTTTATTAATCTGTGCAATACCTCATTTAATCTGTAAAGGTTTGTCATAATCCTCTACAAAGCTACTCCCTGTTAATGTGTGCAAGTTTACACCTGGATGATCATGTACATGTGAATACTTTTCATTCCATCAATAAGGGAGTTTAAATGTAATATGTGAGACTGGCAAAAACCTTAATGTAATTTAGTTATAATGCAAGAAGGAAAACACTATTTTCATACCCTACTTTTTCTGTATCTAAATTTTCTTATTAAAACCTAGTATAGCACTATGTTCTATAAGTGATGCAGCTCTTAGTTTATTTAGCCCCTTCATTTCGAATGCAGTGCTACGTGAATGTTGAGGCTGGTTTATACTATAGCATGGTTTCAAAAACATTACAACGTTGCAGTTCAGATCTTAGCAGTATGCTTGACATAAACCAAAATCACTACAGAAATGCACAGCTAGTCGTGAGCATTACCTTGCCATAACTGTAGCAATACTGACTGCTATTGAACAGCGGCAGTAATTAAGTCCTTCAATTAGAGAACTCTCTATCTGAAGTTAAGCAGGGTGGCTTTACATGGTAATAGTGGTAGAGGCATCTTTGATGCAGACAGGTTCAGTCTTTTTTTGTTGGGTTTTTGTTTGTTTGTTTTCTTCCATTCCCAGCTCTTACTTTCTCAATGAAGAAGTGTATATTACTGGAGGTTGGCAATTGCTACAGTTTGATTTATTTTTAAAATCAATTTTATGTGGTTTTCAGGCTGAAGGGCTGCATTTAATGCTTGCTTCTATAATGTTTAGTTACTTTTTAAAATTTGTAGGACATTGGTGTACTAATAAAGTAAACGTAAGTGGTATTACATTGCAGTCTTTGTGTTATGGTACATAACAAATGCTGAAACACCAATCCTACATCCATAAAGTTGGAAAGCTATTAACTCAGAATATACGCTTTGAATAAGTACTGAACGTTATGGCAGTATTCTGTCTTCGTTTGTTGGCTTTAAGACCAAGGGTTGTGATGAAGATCAAGAACCCGATTCACAAGAATAGTGTTTGAATAAGCGGACGGAAAATGGGATTCTTATTTCACAGCTTGCACATTTATATAAGTTGTACTTTGTAGTGCAGTAAACATTGGCACATCTGCCTATTACAAAATACTAATCTATGCTATGTGGGTATTTAATATCTGCAGCATTAGTTACAGTACTTAATGTAATTTTCAGGTAGAAAATCTTTTTAAAAACCACATCATCTGACACGGAATGTTTACTTAAGTCAGTCATATTTGGAGCATAGTTAATGCATAGTGTCCTGGGTCTTTGACTGTAGTCAAGCGATGAAGCTAAATTTAAGTTGTCGGAATTGTATTGACTGAAACCCAGTGTTGACCTGATCTTGACAGGCTGGACCTGCATGATACGGCTTGGATTTCTAACCCAGTTATAACCTAGTCTTTAGCGAATTAATTTAGTCATATGAGAAGAAAGTTGCTGAAAAGTAGTGGGAGAGGTAAGGTTGTAGTTAAATTATTCAGAGGATGTTAACTTCCTTCCAGGAGTAATTTAAGCACATAACTTGAGGAAAAAGAATTTCCAAGTAGTCTCACTTTCTTGCAGTAACTTTCGCGTTGCCCTCTGCTGCTAGAAACACTTGCTGCTAGCTCTGCTGCTGTAATGGCTTGAGCATTGAATCAAGCGCAAGCGCAGCCTGGGGTAGCTAATGGCAGTGGAGTTAAGAACTTGTGTATAAGGAAAATACTTGTATGGCTTTCATATAACTTCTGGCACTGCTCCCTTACTTTCTGTGGCATATAGGGCATTTTAAAATTGCACAAATGAGGCCTAGAGATTTTCCTAACATGCTACTTACTAGATATGTTTAGCTGTCATGTTCCCAGAGTTGGAATTTCTGTAATATAGTTAATAATTAAGCATCACAGTTCATTAATCATACTTCTATTCCAGGTTTTGGGAGCTCTGAAGTTAACTTGTTGAATAAAACTTTGATTTGTAGATACTGGCCAAAGAAAGCTTCTGGGTTTTCTATTTCTTTTTCTTCATATAAAAAGTACACTCATGTTCTGTGGTGTCCAGGTTAATATTTACTTTAAAGTAGTATTTGTACATGATAAATTTCAGGCATAAAGACTGCAGTGGCAGTTAAGTTAGTCATAACTGCATGCTTCAGCACTCCGCCACTTGCACTATGAGCAGACAATAGCATTTCATGATACTGGTGCATTGTTGCTAAACATTGTAATGAAGGCCTCTTACGTATTCTGGTTAAATGACTGTCCAGATAGCCTTAGCAATTAACAAACTGGCATGAGGCTTTTGTATCTCAACACTCTGTGTGCATAGACAATATCAGCTAGCCACTTGTACGTATGAAATCCGTAAGAACTTCTCAATCATTCAGTTTTCCATTTACCAAACTGAAATTTTTAGTATGTGAATTTTTGAAATGTACAGTGAATAGGATGTTGCACTGGTGGCAATTCATCATGGAGCATAATAAAATTAATTTGACCCAAATAGCATAAAACTGTGTGGTTTTTAAGTGCTAATTGTGGCACGGCTTTTAAAATAGATCTGCATATTGATTACACGCTTTAGAAATTACTCTGGTCTCCTAGCCAAGTCCACAAAGCAGTAAATAGCCACTGTCAAATTGCAGTAGTTTTCACGTCTCTGGAAAGTTGGAGTGTGCTCGTGAATAAACACAATGAGTAAGAATGTGACACCCTGTCCTCCTGGCAGACCTCGCGGCTGCTCGGCGGCGTCTGTGCAACGGCGGCTGCTGCTGCGGGCAAGTGCAATAATCCAGCAGCAGTTCAAGGTCAAACAAACAGGCTTCGTTCATAAACACTCTAGGAGGAGCACTACGTAGTTAACTCGTGTCAACGAACGCTCAAATTTACGAGGTTTTCACAGATGTGGATCTGTGTCTTGCATGTCTTAATGGTTGAGCTCAGGGTGCTTCAGAAGTCTGCTTTCCTCCTCTAAAGCAGCTGAGGAGTCCAGCATTCCAAATTTTTATCTGGTGTACGCTTTCCTTTGAAGTTTAGTACTTAGGTGTTTTTAGGCCTTGAGTGCAAGGCAAAGTTGGCATTGTTACTTACAGGGTGTGCTGAGGTACATAATTATTTCCTCTCAGCTTAGGAAACAGAAGCTTAAAACGGGCTTTTGAAAAGAGGCTTTTCTTTCCATTTTTTTGTTTGGCAAAGGTTACTTTCCCAAGCAAGACATATGTAAAGAGGAAGGAGAGATCCTTTTGGTTTTGTTACCAATCCGTTGCAACAGCCTTTATCTAATCATTAGAGGAATTCCTGGTCTAATTAAAGTTCCTGAAGCTTAAGTACACTGATAAGCAGGTTTATTTATAGAGAAGGGAAAATTGTTTGGGGAAGCTTAGAAGATACTAAACCTCTGTCTCTTAGAGGGCCAGTGTTGCCCTCCAGCAGTGCAGCAGGGACTCCTGTTGCTATGTATTTGTTTACTGCCTGGAGTTTTCTTGTGAGTGAGAAGGAAAGGGCAGGGTAGTACAAACTGGAATGTGAGCTGTGGAGGGTTAATGCCCATGGTTAAGCCTGACACTTCTCTCTGAGGCAGTGTTCGGAAGTTTGAGGATGCTTACACAGTTGTGGAAGAGACTTTTTACTCCCCAAACTGCTATGGCATGTCTGCTGTTTTGTGCCTGGAAAAACAAACCATTAGTTGTTTGAAATCACAGATTTGAAGTTGATGCAGATACGTGTTGAGAAGTAGAATCATTGCATCTATATTGAAATATAAATAATGAGTTATTTTCTGATGCTTTATTTCATGCTGAAGTTTACAGTATTTGTGGAGTGACTTGCTAAAATGAGCTAGGACAGTAATTTATCAGGTATTCAAACTTTTCTCTGATGTAGCTTTGGGTATTACCTGTAGGACTTACCTATCTATAAGCAGTTTAATACATGCATGAAGTTGTGAAGCTCGATATTTTATATTTATTGTGGTTTTTATCTATTAGTTCTGAAAAACATACATAAAAGGGCTTTTTGCTAGTGCTCTAATGAGTTTTTGAAGTCTTTTTGGAGCTAAATTCTTGAGCCATTACTTCATGTGTGTGTCTTTTCCCTCCCTGAAGCTTAATCATCTTTACTGAGTTTTGTTACTCAAGCAGTATGAATTTTAAACTTGTTACTTGACAATTAGATGGGGGGGTGTAAGGTTTTCTGAGGAAAAAACCTTCAGAGAAGTTTTAAAAAACAGAACAAGTTCAAAACCAGCCATAAACGTGCATTATAGTTTTGTATGTGCTGGTGGAGTGTGGGGTGGGATGGGGGCAATATGATCTGGAGTTTAAAGCTTAAGAAATATCATAATGCTTGTGTCTTATATCAGACACAAAGTATTTGCTTAAATGACATCGTCAGGCACACGATACTGGGAATTGGCTCTTCTGGATGTTGATGCCAAAAACCAGGCAACTGCTGGAGCTGTTGAACTGGGTTTGGAGCCCTTTGTTGGTAGATGGGGCTTCCCAGCTGCTCAGGATACAGTACAGAGACTGACAGATTGTTTGCATCCTTTTTTTCTTCCTTTTTTTTACTAGATGCTAGTATAGAATTTTTCTGATTAGAACAGTTTTTTGGACCAAAACAGAGCTTATTTCATCATCAAGGGATGAAATGATCCTCAGCATATAGTCCTTTGTGAGGGTTATGCCTGCTCAACTGTCAGCAGAGAATCTGTCTCTATTTTTAAATTCAAAATGAAATGGAAAGAGCTGACTAGGCCCAGTTAACCTAAACCACGTTTTCTGTGGCTAGTCTCCTGAGGGTAACGTGTGTGTGTGAAAAGCAAATGGCCAAAGCAGAGATCTGCTAGGTAGTAGCATTCTCTTTGAAGGCCCTACATCAAGAAGGAAGTTTTCCCCAGTAGTAGCTGTAGTACCTAGTCCTTAGAAAACATGTTACTAAACTTTACCTGCTGTCCGCAAGACAGGGAAGACAGGAAGATTATTTCTGGAGAGCAGGCAAGCCCCTCTGCTCTCAGTTGTGCTTGATATTTTTGACCATGCTAATAGTGGGTTATCTGGTACAAGAACACATAGCAAGCTCTTTGTGTCGAAGCTGGTGCCAGGAGCACGTGACAGGGAAGATACAGACCCTGCTATTCCTGGTGGGTTTAAAAATTTTGAAATGGGGATGCTGTTGATTAGTTCTCAGCATCCCATCCGACTCCTGTCTCGGTTCTGTGCTGCCCTTTACATATGAGAATCAATA